CTCACGTGTAGTCCCGTCAGTCAGTTAATAAGGAGTCGCCGGTATGGCTAGATAAACATCGGCTATTTACTTGCGAGCAGCGAGTAAGCGGAGAAAGATAATAACGCCATAATAATATTGTGAAAACAATGTAATTTTCTATAATCGCTGGACTCCGGAGGGGACTGGGGTCGGTACACCGCACACAAATACTTACAAACCCTTATTCCACTATGAAATGTTTACTAGCTTGAGAAAACTTCGAAAGACTCTTCAAATTAATTAATTATTCTGAATATTTTCAACATTATTATACCGCTGAGTACATTTACATAGACGATAACTGACAATAAGTTTGAGCTTTAGTAGCGGCATTTACAATTTGCATCTGAACTATGCTTAATAAATATAAAAAATAAATCCTCAGCTGTAAATTGGTTTAGTTGCAATGCAATGCAGCATAGTAAAACAAACAGCGAGTGTATCATTTACTGCGAGTAGTTCGCAAGCCGCGGGTAAATGGCGCGCGGTGGACGCTGTCTTACGGTCTACGGCTCGTAACCAGACACAAGCTGTAATTGAAGAGAAAATATATAATGATTGCTTTATTATATAGTTACCTGCCATGTACCTGCCACCATCGCGTCGTTAAGTTATTGAGAAGCTTGCAAGTAAGCTAGTTACGTTGGTACCTACTCACTTTTCAAGTCTAAGTGTATACTTTAAAAGAATTGGCAATTTTGAGTCATTACCTACAGGTTAGAGACCCCGTTTAATGTGTATTAATTAATTGCTAAAGTTAAATATGAAACTAAAGAAGGCGTTTAAGGAATAATTAATTATTTACAAAGACTTGGAAAGATATGAATGAATGTGATAGGAGTACTCCTATCAGTTTATGAAGCTTAGAAGTAAGGAAGGCTCTATGTAATGCCTGCTTAATGTTATGGGCCAAAACAGTTACTTTCTAACCGCTTCTAGCTTCATAATCTCCTTGAAAAGAGACGTGGGAAATAGCTTTCATTAAGAGAACTGTTATTATTATTTCACGATGATTTGAAAACGAAAAAAGCTTGCCCTTGACTGTTACTCAATAGCTACAAACTCCACTAGTTGTTCTTTATTTCTAGCGGCTGTGTGTCGCAACTCGACCTCCGGCTGACAACCGTTTGACAGATGTTCTGTTTGACAGCCTCACTGACCGTGTGTAGTGTGTCTAGGTCACAGGGCATAAGACAGGTTCAAATATTTAAAATAGTCCCGAGTGTATGGCAGGGTCAGGAAACTTAATGTGATTATATCTAATAATGTTTCTGTGTCGATTTTTATAGCCAACGTACTTAAGTAAGAAAAAGTTATATTTTATTTTGTTTTCTTTATCTTGTTACCAAATCTGTATCAATTTAAGTATTAAATATAGATTCTTAGCACAGTTGAATAAATGTGAAAAAAATTGAAAATTACTTATTTTAGAAATGCGAGAAAGTGGCGACAAAATTGTCATTTTTCCGAATTTCGGTAATTATAAATTAATTAATTCATAGTTATAATAATTAAAGGCCTGTTTTTAATTTCAATATTTCAGTTTTAAAGTTCAAAGTCCGAGTGAGAGCTCGCGTGACGTCAACGACGGATTTTACCACCGACTGAAAAGGAGGAACCACACAACTGTGTACAGCGGAAAATCCAAAACCACGCAGTAAAAATTAATCTTCATTTTGAATTGATGGCTCATTTATTTTGTTATGTTATTCTTACTCACCACAAACTGTAGAGCTGGAAATTGTTGTAAATCCTGAATTTGTTTTAATTTTCACTGGGGTCTACTCCGGTGTACAGGTACACGCGGGAGGTACTACTTCACTACTTGGCTAGTACTTAGATCATAATATTATGGTTTATTGAATAGTTTGCATGGCATGTCGGCTGCGCGTGGCGTGCGCGGGAGCCGGGGACGGACTGCGCGCGCGGCCCGCTGTGACGTCAGCGAGCCAAATATAGTGAGGCGAACACCACACGCTATTTTCACCCCCACAGAACGTTATCCAGAAGAGCTTTCAGTTATTTTTCCCATGAACTGCGATGTGAGTTAAGGCATTAAGTAGTGTATGGTGGTGAAATGTCGGGCCGGGCGTGTTATTTTTGCATAGGATTTTCATCGCTTTCCGCGCTAGAACGCGTGGCTTAAAACGGCAATAAGGCGGCGCTTGCGCATCTGCTTCGGCAGCTTTTGTTTACTAGAGCGGCGCGCGGCGCGGTTCGTAGTAATGTGTATGTGGGGTACTGGGCTAATTCTTCCACAATATTTGGACCACACGTGGGCTTACATTATATTATGTCAGCGTGGGAACGCTTTAAATATTACAATTTGTGACGACTACAAAGTCTGGCACTCAATTACCTGTTCAAGAATATTCTACAAAGAGAAACTAAATGTTTCTTTTGTTTTTTTTTTCAAAGGAAATAATAGAATAAGTTCTAAAAACAAGAACCCAATATTTTTTCAATAAAAAATGTTTTTGTAATAAAATCCTGTATTATTTTTTATTATTGAAGATTTTATTTTGTTTTTTCTGAGAACCCGTTTTTTAGAACGTAAGAAAATACGGATCAGCTTTTGCCCAGCTTCATGAAAAGGTTTTCCAGGAAACATTTCAGTATAGCTAGACGTCACAGCTCGCCGGTAGGGCCGTCTGGTCAGAGCATGAAGTGCTGGCCACTTATTACATTACACTAACATTGCCCCACATTACGGGTACACGTAGTTACGATAAACAAACCGCTGCGCGTGCGCACTCCACGCGTGTACTCTGCGCGTGAGTAGCGCATATGCACAACATACATCACACCCTTATTTATCATCCACATGCTTCGACATCCTTTTTTGTCATTGCCCCTATAAGGAGTTTTGATAGTAAGTATTTTTAGTTCTATTCTAGGGCTGACAATATTTCGTAGCAAACTACTACGGCGTAGACGACATATATTTTGTCTTATGTGTACTATTTGTCAATCTACGAAGAGTATATACTATTAGTATCATACTATTATGTAAAGCTTCTGTTTTTATTAAATATAGCAACATTTTAGTCTATTCCTTTATATAAAAATGAATCGCATAATGTGTCAGTAAGCGTGTGTTCAAAAATGGCTGGACCAATTCTTATTTTCACTATGTTTGTTATTGTCAAAGGATGTTTCTTATAGTATTTCGACAGCCGTAACAGATACAAGAGAAGGATTTGCATAATGCGGAATAACCAGATTTTAGATTTGTCAATTTTACATAGGTACATAGATTTTACCGAACCATAATAAATGATGCCTCTTGATCGGCAGTCGTATTGAGGTCACTCACAGACTGATAAGACTGTGTGATTTGGGTTATTAATTCTAAAAAGTATGCAACCGGATAACCGTGTAGCTGTCAACTGTTAAATATGTAAGTAATTTTTTTATTTTATTTTAATAAAAATTAATTTGATAGAGCTCTTTAATATTTATCACCAAAACATTATAGATTAGCGCCAAATGTTATCTACAAATTAAAATAGTAAATAACATTTGTACATCCATATCGTTAATTACAATGCGTATACTCTTTACTCGCCCCACAAATCTACAGCTGCCAATCACAAGCCGTTACAATGCGCCGATTGCATTAAAAAGCCATCATTAGTTCGCCATTAATGCGCGTTTGAAATAAATAAATAAATCAAATCTGCGCGGGCGCATACATGCGCGTGATTCATGCGCGTCTCGTGCCAAACCACGTGCACACGATACTGCAATTGTGCCGCATTACCCACTCTTACTAGAAAGTTTACATTATTATACATTAAACGATTTACTTTGTTTGCAATATGCTGCTCGTCTGAAAAACTTCTATGTATTGGCAGCAAATATTAATAAAAATAATCGATGCTCATTTATTTACGTGCAAAATATGGAAGTCAGTTTTCTATAAACTGTCTTGAGATGGATCAAATGCACATTTAAATTCAATTTGAGGAAATATTCTTAATAATACCGTCGTGAAACGTACCCGTCAGTGACTTGTGCCTTGGTTTTTCAAGCATCGCTCAAAGTGAGACTTCTGCATGTATTTACTTGTGCAGTACATGTGCAACAGTGCATTTAGTGTAATATTGTATTGGATTAACACCTGCCCGGCTGCCGGCTGCGGCTGCTTACCCGGTTACATGTTAAGAATAGGAACACAACGCTACTCCCGGGTGAGGCTACAACTGGGTATCTAATTAAAAGCATTGTAGACTTAAAAAATAAGATAACTAAGTTAGAATTTTGTTAAGAATTTTGACAGATTAGAGTATTTTTGGTCCCTGCTAGTAGCTAGTGCTAGTTACCTACTTACAGTGACTTACAGTAATGTTCGTACAAATTGTTACAATTGGGTAGTTTCCTAGGTCAAAATTAATTCGACGTTTCAATACAAACATACGATACGATAAGCTGAATTTTAGATATTTTTACCTATTTTTTAAGAAATAAGTAAAGTATTTGACGCAAAAATACTATGACGTCATAATTCAATTTTTCATACACATAGAAAAGTATCGTTTTTGACATTTGGATAAAAGTATTGAATTTGACTAGTATATTTCGGCCACAATATATGTCTGTATGTTTATCATTTAGTGTGCTACTGTTGAAAAGTATGCAAGTGTAACATCTATATCAGTAGGTCGATTAGCACCTGTCTGTTAGAACGAGTACTACGAACTACTTCAAAATGTTTGAATTTCATAGTTTGTTGCCTTCGTACATAAATCATAATTAATGATATATTGAATAGTGTTGCTATCCATTAGACGGGTCTGGATACATGTCAGCTATATTATGAGAAAGTAAAATAAATCCAGAATAAAGTTAAAATCAGTGCAATCTAACACAGGTTAAATACTCCTATTACACAAGTGAAATTTTACACAAAAATGAAATCACAACAACATTGTCGATCAGTATTTACTAGCAGCATTGGTGTAGTGTGTGTGACATACCTGTTTGACGACGACCTTGCCAGTGGGTTTCTCAGTGACGTAGCCCTGCATACCGGCCATCAGCACGGTGGCGCCGAGGAACTTGTTCAGCAGGGCTCGCGCCTCCGTGTCCTCCGTCGTGTCACCCTCCTGGATCACTGGGGAAAGGATGGGATTATATAGTATGGTAAACAGAACTGAGAAGTTCTAGTATTTATTTAAACTGATGTAGTAAATCTTACAATAAATACATTATTTAACTTGAAATTGGAATTGAGATCCAACTAACTTTTTCGATTAGGTACTTAATTAATGAGGCTACCAGGTAACTAGGTACAGATTAAAACAAGTAAATATATTTATAAACAGGAGTTAGCACTACTGTATGATAATAATTTGTATTGTAGCGTGGTCTCAGCTATATTTTCCCAGTAGACTTTACATGACATATCTTCTTGTCGTGGTGGCCAATGGACCATGTGACATGCTACTGGTAAACTGCACTGAGTGTCTGTTTGTTTGACTGACCAACATCAGCGCTGTGTGGCTGGTGACGAGTGGTGACAGCATTTATTATGAGATCAGTAACACGCGACTAATCAAACATTCATAACAGGATCCAATTGACCGCATAGCTCACGCCGCCACGGAGTACCAAGTTTATTTCCATGACTGTATTTACATACAATACCCATTTTAGTATGATATTTCTACTGTTATTATAACTAAGGGTCACGGTTTTTCAAGGTATATTAGAACTTGGGCGGCACATACCTTATAAATATTACTTTCTATATTAACAATCATCCGGTACATTAATGGCTGTTCATACTTTTTTGTGAAATAGGACCTTACTGTGAGATACTAAAAGATACTTTTGCCCGCAACTTTGTTCGCGTGGAATAGTGACTTCATGTAGATTTTAGGTTTAAAAACTATCCTATTTCCTTTCTCGAGTTCCAAACTACGTCTGTACCAAATTTCACACAAATAGGTTCAGTAGATTACGCGTGAAGACAGACTAGACAGACACATAGAGTTACTTTCGTATTTATATATTAGTTTGGATTTTTTGGCGATTTACGAAAAATAATGATGTCGAAGTGATCTCATTAGAAATATTTAACTAACACTTTAATCATTATGTAGGCGGGTAGGAAGTGAGTCTGCCAAACATGACTAATGACAACATCATCAGAATGTTGTATAACTGCGGGGAGTGACAGGTGTTACTTAGATGTTGGCAGCAGGTGTGAGGTTTCATCGACTTTCCACCAGCCCTACTGCCAAAAAGGGCTAGTATACTAGAGAAAACTAGGCACTACGTTTATAAATAATGGAAGTTGTTACTGATGTGAATTCTGAAATCGTAACCCGAATGGTATGTAGTACTAAACATCTGAGATGTAGTACAAAAATGAACGAAAAAACAAATTAGATAGTTTAGCTCTAGTAGTTTTTGATTCGAGGAGTTTAGGTCCAAGACAGTCATTCATGAATAATATAATTCAATCATTTATGTTACTGGGACGCGCCGGGCTTCAGTTGCCGGTGTTTTTACGGTTGCATCTGTTGTAGGTCCTTCCATACAGGAGTTGCAGCGGTTTTTGGGAGGTGGTGGCGGGTTTGTCTCACAGATAGTTTAGGTTTAGGTTTATCCATATGATTGATACCTATGGTATACTGATAAAAATAGAAAATAGCGTACTATAAAAGGTACAAACTTACCTATATCAGCATTCTTCATCCTGGTGAGAATGTCCTGCACGCCTGTGACCTTGGTGTTGCTGTCGAGGAAGGACTTCTCTGGCCGGGAGTGGTGCGTGGTGGAGCCGTGGGTGCGGGTGGTGGTGGTGACCGTCCTCACTCCGCCATCCACCCGCTCCGACGTCGTCACCATCGTGTCCTCCACCGAGCCCAGGCTGTGCTCGCTGTCTGTGCGGGTTAGACCTGTGCATGGGCAAAATATTCGTTGCGAATTGAAAATTTGTTTTGAGAGTTATGTGTTCTTAAATTTGTAAAATTTTCCACAGTGGCGTGTTGGTTGCAGGATAAAACCAGGCTAGGTGTTGTACCAGTACATGGACAGTGATTTAAAGATAATTAGCAAAAGATGGTACAATACTGTTGTTTTATATTGATTTAAACTTAACTCGCTCTGTCGAAAACAAGTAAAATAAACTCATTAATGGAATTAGATTAGTTCTATCACTATTAAATACAAATGTTGTCTGTCCTTGAAACAGTTGCCGCATTCAATTTCTATAGTTTTTATAACGATAAGTTGTGACTAAATAATTAGTTGTAAGTGGAGCGGTTATTTTGGGCCAACGTTACTTTACATTCTTATGTATTACCTATGTGTCAGACAATTACATAACACAATTATAAATATAATTATGAATATATTTAAGCTGCTTTACTTTCTTCATTCAAATTCATTCGCTAATCTAAGTACCTAAATTAAATTATTGTAATCCATTGCTGTAATAGAGCGTTCTGTAAACAATGCATGTTGGCGTAGTAGCTGGGCGACATGGTGTTCGGGTTCGATTCGAACTTCCAACTCTTTGTGTGAACCACTTATTACATACAGAGTAATTCGGCACTCTCGACGTAAGAGAAAAACGGGAAGATAAGTGGTGTACTGACCAGCGTGTGCTGAGGAGTCGCTGGAGACGCTGTCCTTCATGGTGGAGGTGCGCAGGATGAGGCCTGCCTTCGGGTAGGTGACGCGCTCCGCCTTGCTGCTCTCGTCTGCAGGGATATTGCAATATTGTACTCTTATCTATTTCATATATTATTACAGCTCTCTCACCACACTGCCATTGTCATGGATGTCATCGCTGAGCATGATTCCATCTCCAGAATTATCTTAATTGCTTAAAAGTAGACTTTAATCATCAACTAATGTTTGTTTTTGTATCAACTACCTAGTAGGTACTATTGTTAGTTATGTCGTTTCAAAAGTTACTTTAGAGAGTGGAGTTCATCTATGTCTAACAACAAAAACTAAACAATTTGTCAAAATAATAGAAATATCAAGTAAATAATTCAAAATAAGGAAACCGAATATAAATACGGATACTATGCAATCAAAATTCACAGAATCTCCTGCCCAAAAAAGGTAAAAATATCACAGTTCGTCCAACGTATGAGTGAACAACAACAGTAAACAACAAAATAGACATAAAATAACAGTAAAGAGGTTCTACACAAAAGGTTTATACCGAAGCATGTGATCACTTCCGCTAGTGCTGTCTGTAAATGAGCAAACACGGGCGCAACACTAATGACATTTAAATAGGTAGTTGACCCCCGCGGTCACAGCATGGGAACTCGGTAATCACTCGAGTACTTGTTGATAACACTACGAACATATCAACATACATACAGCCTCCCTGTATGATTAATGTTACGAAATATTTGACTACTCACCAACCTACTTAGATAACTCCACAGGTGTGTAATTAAGTTAGGATTTGTTTTACTTTGTGCATGTTGTAAGGTAATTTCAACATGCATATTTATCTTAGGCACCTACTAACAATTATTTTATGTATTTTAATAAATAATTGTAAATAAAAATTGTTTTTGTTTATATATCATTCGATTTTTAAAAACCTTTTTTTAAGATTCGTTTAAAATAAACAACATTTAATGTGATAATCCTTTTGAAACTAAAAAGTAATTGTTTATTATTAATATTATAAAAGAAATACAAAAAACAAGTAGGGTCAATGCATATGACTCACCAAGTCTCTGGTAAATACTAAGTAACAATTTAAAATTGTAGCTACAATCCTTGCTAGTATCCATTTTACGAAGATATTGTCAAGAGCACATGTAAATAAACACCGCGGTAAGCACTGAGTACCGGCTGCTCGGGACCTCGGCTTAGTCCGAGAGTCAGTTAGCGACTGAAAACGTAAACGCAGGTAGTGCAATATGAAAGTATGAAAGTTATTACGTAAACAGACGCACGCTAACGCGCTCGCGTGCGTTTACGTTACGTTATTATTATGCGATATCACGAAACTATAGATTAATTTTCATAAAGACTTTTGTTTGGAAAGACGTTTGTGTGCATGTAGTAAAACAATATGACACTATGTAGGTGTCGCTAATGTCGCTGCGTCTTGGTTCATACATCGTTACTTAGTAACATACACGAGGAGACGTAAGCAAATAACTTTCATTTTGTAATCGATTGAAAGTTATTGAACGCTACAATATTAATGATAACATATAATATGTACTACGAAGCAAGTTGTATGACATTTAGTCATACGAGAGCCGATGTATCAAAGAAGTTGCGGGCTAAGCACTAAGTGTAGGAAAATTAACTGTATTAAAATTTACTACATAATATATAACGGTATCTGTCATATGTGATTATAGTTTTGTATCGAAAGCTCGACAAGACCTTGTGAAATCAGGTAAAAAATGCGCCAAATCAGAAGGTGAAACATTGTTTAAAAAAGGCGCCGAATCCTTGAATCTAAATGTAATAATGATATTTAGATGAGGTGTAGGTACTATTAGGCAATATTATAACCCTTAGTTATTGGAAACGTTCGTCCGACTTTAGAAGCTAACAATATGCGTCCGAGTAACGACTAACAATAAGTTGTCGGCGCGGCGTCGCCTTGTTCAGAGTGAACAATGGTGCATGTTCTGTCGTGTAGGGTTTCACTTTCTATTGTCAATATTACAACAAAAAAATATCGTGAAATTTAAGCAATGTTGCAACAGTCTGAAACACTGGAGGTACGCTCCGTTTCCCTTCATTAGACCGACGCAAGCGTATTGATTCTGTTGCCTCACTGCTCTTGTATAAGAACTTCTATAACTGTGGACAGTGATATCAGTTTACAGAGAGCTTTAATGTTTAAAATGATTTTTGCTGATCCTGGGGACTTTGATATAAAATCACTACACAAAACCTTGACCTCAGTCTCTTGCTCCGAGTTAAAAACATCGAGCTCATTAACGGTAGCCACATTTCTCGGTGATTTAGAATCTATTATGTATCCGTGTATAAATACATTTTGTGGTCAAGGTTGTTCTGCGGTGATTCATATCTAGTCCATCAATGGCCGGTTACAAACTCTAGCCTCATTAAACACTAGTCGTATAGAGAGAGGTGGTGATAAATGTATACTCACTGGCACTCTTGATGTATTTCTCTGTGAGCGACTTCACGGAGCTCTGCCTGACGGTCTTCTTGTCATCTGTCCTCTCTATCCTCTCCCTCCTCTCTTGTGTCCTATCTCCCTTTTTCTCCACTTTGTCCACTCGCCGTTGCAATCTCTCTGATTTATCTTCTCTTCTATCTTTTGAACTGTCTATGATTTCCTCTCTTGCCTGTCTGCTCCTATCTCCTATGATCTCTTCCCGCCTGCTCTCAATGCGTCTGGTTTCTCCCGCAATTTCTTCGCGTCTGTTAGAGATTCTCTCAGTGATGTCCTCGATCCTGGTGTCGGAGACGCGGCGGTCACTGTGAGTAAATTGGTCTATGGCGGCGCGATCTTCTCTCTACAGGAGATAAAGCAAATATTTGATATTAAGATTAGATAAATGCATAGTTTTTATTTATTATTGTTGTTATCAGAACAATCAGAAGACAATACATAGCCGGAATTCTTCAGATTGTGTTTTTTTAATTTTAGAAAATAGAACATGATGTGGAGTTAAGAGTTGGTACATAAAACTTGTAACTTAGGAATTTGGTAGGATTCATAAATAATTCAAAAACCATTAGATTCATAGATTTCATATAACCATTAGATACATTTTAAGTTGTGGTTTCTGGTTATTTATTTAGACTAGTATGACATAACATACTATGTGTATTGGCTGTAGTTGGTATTTGGTCAATAACAATAATACGATAAATAAATAAGAGTAACCGCACGACTGCTCATACAGAACCACTAGGCGCTGTATGTAGGTAGTATGAATGCTCTAAAAATGTTGTCAGGCACTTACACCGTGCGCTTCCTTCAGAGTGGTGCCGGTGTCTCCTCCGAACTTCTTGGTCGTTGTGATGGCAGCGAGCCCGTGAATGCGAGAAGGAGGCTCCCCCTGGCCCTGCAGCAGGCGCTCCAGGTCCTCGGGTTCCGTAGAGTAAGCAGTCACGGATACTGTACCCTCAGGCTCACCTCCGTTTCGGGAGTGATACTCTTGACGGATCACCGTGCCCTTAACTGTATACATGAAAAATATAATGTTACTTTTTATAAAATTTTGTAAATAGAAATTTTGGTGTATAATAATTTCTCCAAAAGAAGTGATCCGACTGTAATGTTTACAGTATTATTCAGTTCAATTTTAATATTTTTGATCCTGAATAAAGCTACAGTGATGACGTCAAACCGAATTACTTTGCGTGGCGGTGCATTTCTAACGCCTGTTTACTGTAACGTTTGTGTCACGGGCGTAGAATGCAAAACGAATCCACATAAAAAAGCTAAAGCAATTTTATATTAAACAGTGTGACTTATGCAGTTAGGGCTTTACCTTAATGACACTTATTTTACACAAATTAATCGGATCCGGACCAGTACACAGTCGTGTGTTCCTACTGTATCAGTACTGTAACTGTGCGCACTATATTAGAGGCCCAGCGTCACATGCTGCAGCTGAGCCAACATTTGCTCTGTGAGCAATGTTTATGATTCAGATGTAGGTTCATTGGTTAAGTAATTTTCAGTACCCAGCGTCATTGTAATATAAGAGTCAACTTGCAAAATAACTGAAAACTAGAAAGTATGTCACGTCATATGCATTTTTGGTAGCATTCGTCAACTTCTTTAACTTGAGAATTAAAATGAGTTACAAAAGACACCATAGCGTTTTTACTTAGCCACACGTGAGCCTATTTCACACGTTTTGTGCTCAATAATAAAAATTAAAAGAAAATGGTCACCAAATGCATACCCTGGTAGTTGGAAGCACCGTTCCTTAATGCCCTGATACCGAACAACGGCTTGCCGTCAGCGTCCAGTGGGCCAGGTCCGTAGCTTGATGTGATCACATCGATAGGCTTTGTGATTGCTTTAGAAGGACTGGGGGCTCTGTATTTTGGTTTCTCTTCAATTTTTTTACTGCTGAATGTTCTGGTCTCTGAGCTAATCTTCTTGAGATTTCTATTTGTCACCCATGAAGGCTTTTCTTCTTGGACTTGCTTTTGTGGTATTTTCTTCTCAATTTCGTAGACAGTTTTTATGATAGTTTCTTTTTTAGCGGGTTCTGTTCGTTTCTGCTTTTGTGTAGGACTTGGCGTACGTTCGTAAATTCGCTCTGGACTGTGTGCCTTCCGTCCAGGACTCTGCGGCTTTTCTGGTGAAGGAGACCTCTTATTGGTTCCATTCTGTTGGACCACCTCAATCACATCCCGAGATATAATTTCGTCTGTGAAACTCTTAGCAGTTGAGTATTCTTCCACAATTTTGTGTTCTGTGTGTTTAATCGTGCGCTGGTTTTCTTCAGCTGTTTTCTTGGATTTCGCTTCAGCAAACTTGATCTTGTCTGCTTCACTCAGACCCACTTTTTTCATATAAGCTGATGCATACTCATTGAAACGGTTTGATTTTGGTTTCGGTGCAGCAGTTTTGCTCGGAGAATGAGTTCGAGTCTTTTTGTCAGGGCTGGGCTGCCGTACGGGACTTTTAGAATTTGGCACAGACTTCGTAGTAGGTTTGTCTGGGCTTTGCGGTCTATGGTACCGGTCACTTAGAGTTTTGTTGGATTCCTTGGAGTATCCGTTATGTACTGGTTGTACTGTGTCCTTAGGTTGTGTGCGTTCAGGAATAGTTCTTTGCTGTGCTTTAGTGTGGCGGTCAGGAGAAGAGACTTTGTGTGGTGTAGCTTTTGAAGCATTTCGTTCTGGTGATCTCGTGTATTGGCGTTCAGGAGACCTAAGCTTTTGGGTAGTGGCAGTCTGTCTTGTAGTTTTAGTATAAGTCTTAGTATCAGTGTGTTCATTTTCTAGTCTCTTCTTAGCAATGCGAATCTGAGATCTGATGCGTCGCCTCTGCTCGTAACCAACGACCTTTTCCAACTGAAATAAGAATAAGTCAGTAATAGTATATATATAAAAGAGAAACATAAATAACAATCATGAACATGCAAATCCTGCGCTTACTGACCATTTGTTCCAGGAGGTCCAGGTCGAAGATATCTTCTATGCAGGGATGTTCAACGCTGCGTCGCCGCTCGCTGCTAACTGTTGACCTTTCCACACTAGTCCTTCGAAGCTCGACACCAAACTTTCCACTTCCACGTCGGCTGCTGACTTCAGTGTCCTCAATCACCTTGGTCTCTTCTTTGATTTGACTGGTTTTCGTGGGTCGAAGGTAACCAGGAACTTTTTCAGGCTTTTCAGCCTCTGGACGTTGCCTCGGAGATTCAGCTCTCTGAGAAACTGGATATCGAGACACAATAGTTTTGGTGGTAGTTGTGGTTTCAATAGTTTGACGCATTGGAGATTTAGATCTAGGAACGTCTGCAGGTTGGATATTCAAACGCGATGGACTGCTCCGTGGCTTACCGTCATCTGATTGAGGAACGCGTGGTCTAGTTGTGATACCACTTGTTGGACGATCCTTCTGTGGCTGAGCTATTTGGCTGTCTACATCAGTTACATGAGGAGATTCATCTTCAGCACGAGGATGTAAAACAGTACTATAGTCGGTCTTCGAAGGTTTCTTTATTACACCGATATCTGTCAACTTGGTACTAGAACTTGGTTTAACATGAGCAGTTTCTTTTGTTTTTTGAGTTGTTGTTGTTGCAATATTTTCAAACAGAGCTTTAGCTTTCTTCACAGCTTCACTGCTGCGAAGAGTAGTTATCTTAACTGTAGGCGTCCTTTCGTTAGGCTTCATATTTGGTTTACTGGAGTCCTTAATTTTCGGAAGTGATGATGATTCTTTTGGTTTAGTTTTTTCATCACGTTGATTCGGCGAACTTTTGTTAGCCACATCTGTGTTCTCTGTGAATGTAGTTCGTTCTATGTCTTGCTCGTCTTCATCAACATCTGTAACAATTTTCCGCATAATCTTTTCATGCTGTTCCTTAATTTTCTTCTCATTTTCTTCGCCCTCATGAGATTCACTCAAAAATTGCTCAGCTGTTTTAACAAACTTATGTACTTTATCAGAGACGCTAAGCAAACAGTCATCGCTCTTTAAGGAGTCGTCCACGTTACTTAAGTCCGGACGTTCAACACGTTGAGGAGTTGGCTTCAGTTTTGGCATCTTAACGTTTTCTGCAGTTTCTACGAATAAATGCGCTTTGTCGTGTACACTAAGTTTCGTGTAGTCATCTTGATACACAGTGTTTCTGTCGTACTCATCTGTGACCCTGCGTGATGGACTTCTACTCTCCCTTGTATCCTTTGGTCCCTTTGCAAACTTGTTGACTTTCTCCGATACTGATAATAAACATTCATCGGATTTCAACTTATCGTCAATAAAATCGGAATGAACCCTTTTTTCAGTTTCTTTGAAGATAGTGGTAGTATCCTTTGATTTGTGGACTGTATCAACACCTTTCGAGAACCTTGATACCTTGTCTGTGACACTAAGGAGACTTTCGTCTTCATCAGTAACGACATCAACGTCGGTTTTTCTAACAAAAAGTTCGTCATCTTCACAAATTTCAACGATATCATCAACTATGGACTCTGCTTCATGAATTGTGTGATGTGTTCTCCTGCGGAATTCATCATCAGGCTCACTTACTTCATCAGGATAGCGCGGAGTACCAATATCCTCTCCAAAATTGACCGGTGTAGGACAGATGCGATCTGGGGAATTCTCCCGGGATGACTTAGATTGCTCCACATCAACAATAATGTCATCATCATCAATAGAAGTATTTAATGTTGTAGCTGATTTGGGTTTACTTGGCAATTTTGAATGTGGTTCTTTAACAGATGATTTCGTAGTTTTTACTGTTGATTTGGTAGACATATCACTTACTTGTATTTCTGGTTTTGATTTCATTCTCTGAGGCGATACCTTCTTCTTTATGGTGAGATCGCTACTAGTACGCATAACCTTTGTATCGTTATCTTTTTTAGGGATTATGCTATCTCTAATGCCTTTAGGAGTTGGAGCTCGTTTCGTCTCTGGCTCATTCTGACGACCTGTCGGTGATGGAATAGACTTCGTTGTTGTTTTACTCGCATTTGTTGTCCGAGTGAAACTGTTTTGTTTCGTAACAGAATTTACATTAGTGGACTTCTTTATGTCAGTTGCTGTCTTGTCGACTTTAGTTATATTTAGGGTAGCAGGGGTTGGTTTCCTAGTCAAATGCGAGGGTATCTGTTCTTTAGGCTTAATTCCACTAGGCTTCGAAATCTGAGGTGATTGCGGCCTTTCCGTTGAAGAGATGGGCTTTTTTGGTGAAACACTTCTTTTGGTTGGGGAATCGGGGCTCTTGTCTACTTTAGTAGGTGTAGCGATTCCCGACGGTTTCTTAGTAGGAGAAACCGTCCTAGATGTTTGTTTATGAGGCACTTTCTGATCTTTAGGTTTTTCATCTTCTGCTTTTTCAGGGTACGATGTATGTTTTTTAGTAACTGTACATTTCTCTGTAATTTCAATGAAATCTTGAGATATAAATTCATCGCCTGTTTCTGTATGTTTAGTTATGTCGATATCTTGCAAGCTGGTCGTTGTCTTACCAGGGCTCTTTTCTCGGCTAGGTGAATGTTCTTTGCGCTCTGGTGACATTTTCCTGACAGATTTGTGGACTTTATCTAGAATTTCTTGTTCTTTCTCAGAAGAAATGAAATCCGAACTTATTTCTGTAACTTTGGTGGTCTTCTTTGATGGAGAAGGAGTACGAAGCTGTCTTGGTTCTTCGGGTTGCTGCAGTAGATCAGGTTGGAACTTTGATGGTTGATGTGGCGTGTGCCGTGACGGCGATTCGGAAGTTCTTACCAACGAATGTTTTTCAGCGACATCTACCGTAATAATATCATCAGTAGATGTCGTCTTCAAGTCAGGTGATTTCTTGTAACTTGGTTTTCTATCGGGACTGGAGCTTGAACGATGTGAAATTTGCTGAATGACTTCTGTTGTATTTATTGAGCTAGTTTTGGATGGCTTTATTGAAATATCAGAATGACGGTTGATAGGTAATTCTGCAGTGGGTTTGGAACTTTCTACATGTTTAGAAGCACTTCTCGGAGGGGAGGTGCTGGAACGCTGTAAAATGGAGTGATCTTTTTCCGTGACGTTTGTCGTAGTAGTCGTTTTAATGTCCTTTGAGGTGGTTGTAGATTCTACGTAATTAGATTCTTTTGTATCCACAAGGGTGATTGATGATGGTTTTCTTATCGGAGAAGTTTCCTTAGGAATTCTCTCTTGTGTATGCCTCTCAGGACTTTCTCGGGGTGAAAAACTACCATGTTTTAGGATGCCGTCTGGACTGCTTTGTTTGTGAGGTGTTTTTGGTGAACTATCGATTGTTTTAGTAGACGTTTCCACGTGATCATTGGAAAGTTTTCTAATGCTGGCAGAAGTCTTTTTCATGTAGTTAGGAGTATCCGGGCTTGATTTAGAAGAAGAAGTTTCTCGAGGTTCTTTATCAGCTGATTCTGGCCTTTCTTGCTTGCGATCAGGACTTACGTGTTCCCTATGCGAGTTGTTTTCTCTAGGTTGTTTAGATGGCGAAAGCGGTCGGGGATGGTCATGCATTCGTTCAATAGACTCTATCGTATGATTTTGCGATAAGTTGTGCCTATGTACATGAGATGAAATCGCCTTCATATACCCAGGTGTTTGCTCTGAAATCGGTTTCACTCTGGTTGGCGATGGTTCTTTTTTATGAAGGTCTTGTTTTTCAGGGCTTGTCCTTTTTTGTGGAGTTTCATTTTTTAGTTTATTTTGTTGACTTCTATCAGAAAGTTCAGTAGATCTAGGTGGAGAACTAGTACGAGGGTAATCTTTTGTTTCAGAAGCCTTTCTAGTAGGTGATTCTGATGAACGAAGTGAAACTTGTTTTTCTGTTGTTATGAATGACGTTGCTTCTTCCACATCCCTTGATATAATTTCACTTTTTGATGTGGCAGATTTAGTTGTTTTCATGTAACCGGGCACATTGTCATGCTTGGTCGGAGACTCATCTTTTTTATACCTATCAGTACAAGTTTTTTCAGGACTAGATCTGACACTTGATGTTTTCTCTCGGTTGTCCATCTTCCTATCTGGACTGCGATTATTTGTGTAAGTAGAGTGCAATGGAGTATCATCTGCAGACTTTGGACTCTTTCGTGTAGGAGATTCAGAAACTCTAGGACTTCTTCTTGATTTAACCCTGTTAAGAGTGCTATGTTCTTGTATATCCTCAGCTGAAGTGATCTCGTAATCAGTTACTGAAGTTACAGTCGTCCCATGGCTAGTTCTTGATGGAGATGATTCTTTGGGTTTTTTCTCGGGGCTTGCTCTGGTAGAAGGTTTGTCAAAACTCGCTTTGCGATCCGGACTTTTATCAGAAGAAAAGGAATGTTTTGTTGGAGTATCATTTACAGCCTTAGGTTTTTGGCGTGTGGGCACATCAGATGGCTGGATATTTTGTTCTGAACGGTCACTTCCTGCAGGAACAGACTCTTCTACATCTTCAATGGTAGAAGTGGAGTCGTATTCAACAACCATAGAAGTTGTTGTTGTTGTTTTATTATAATTAGGTAGGGAAGGTGATTTTTCTTTTATGAATTCTTCGTAATCCAGATTGGTTTTGGTTGGAATATTTTTATGGTCGCTGGGTTTACGTTCTGTAATCTTATCAGGCTGTTGCCCGGGTTTTCTTGTAGGGGACTCTGAAGAGCGTGATATCTTTTCTTGAGTTGAAATTTCATCTTTGGTAGAAACGATTGATGTAATTCCGATAAAGTCCTTAGTTTCTGAAATCAAGTCTGTTGGGTGTTTATCTTCAGGTTTCTTAATAGTTTGTTCATTTTGTGGTTTTTTATCGGGACTTAAATTAGTTTTAGTACTTTTATGAAGCACTGAATCTTCATCAAAAATTGATTGTCGTTCAGGACTTTGTCTAGGAAAAGGAACTTTTTTGGCACCAAGAACATCTTTCTCTGTATTTATTGAAATATTTTGAAGTTTAGTTGGTGAAGTTCCTCTTGGCGATTTCGTGTTTTCATCATGTAACTTGTCAATGTGAGTAGTTGTCTTCTGAATAACATTTTGTTGTTCGTGTATAATGAAATCAGTAACATCAGCTTTGGTTTTAGTGGTTTTCTTTATTGAAGGATATTCAAAGGGAGTTTCTTTTGTAGCAGGACTACGACAAGGAGAAAAGTTAGGAGAACTTAGGTTTTCTTCCGGTTCCCTTAAGTGAGAAGTTTTCTTTGTTGTGACAGTAGTTGTAGTGGTGTCATCCATCATACCAAGGATCTTGCGACAGCGATCTTCATAGGTTTCTCTGCGTTCTAGTGGTGGTTTTTGTTTGCCAGTAGGTGCTTCAGTGTCAGGTGTTTTTGGGTGGTCTTTTTTCACTATTTTATGATTAGGGAATTCTTTCGAATCTTCCGTTGGTGACACACTGAAACTAGACGGTGGCTTTTCAATTGGAGACGCTTGTGTTATCTCATTTGAAGGTTTCTTTAAGGAACTTTTTCTTGGCAGGGAGTCCTTAGGTGGAGATATACGCTTTTCCGGAGAAGGTGACCTACACGGTATTTTAGTGGGTGATTGAGGTCTATTCACACTGAGACTTTCAGGTCTCTTGTAAATAGTGGTGGTTTTATCTACCACGTTCGTCTCCGAATAAGTTTCTTGCTCATCTAAATCAGTAACAACAGTTTTTTCGTTTCTAGGAGAACTAAAATATACAAAACCACTAACAGAAGTAGTCGGAGAGCTTTGACCAGTTGATGGCTCCGTGTCAGTTGGTTTAGGCTTCCTAGTAGGACTCGAAGATGGAGTAATCAGTCGTCTCGGATGTTCTTTAGTCACAGTTTTATTTACCTCTTCGTTCTTTTGTTCTGTTGACATAAAATCAGTAGTGTGTTTAAACTTAGAATCTTTTGTAGGAGATTTTATGGGAGATACACTATCGCGAGGTGATTTTTTTGTTGGGGAACTTGGTTGACTCGGCGTTTTCTTGGGAGATTTTGCACGATGCGTTTGTGAACCGAATTTGTTGTCTTCAGTCATTACGACTGTGTTCCTAACAGCTTCGGTGTCGTCACCTTCGTAAGGTTTCTTTTTATCATAAGTTCCATATTTACTAGGAGATGGTTCCCTGGGCGTTGTTTTGTCACTTGAATTACTTTTATCTTTTGGGATCGAATACTTTGTATTTATTTCTTTATCTGTTGTTAATTGTGTTGTATCGACTCGTTTAGATTGATTAGTTAAGGTGACATGCTGTTTAGGTAATGGAGACCTTCTCCTTGACGGTGTGGCATCGCGAAAGTCAGGGGTGTCTTTAGTTGGACTACTTTTTGTAATTGTTTCTTTTGGTATTGTTCGTATGAAATCGGTTGGCGAGGGTTTCAAATTATTGATTTCAGTTTCTTCAATACGCGAATACATTTTTGTTTCTTCATCAATAAACTTATAATGATCATCTTTAACTTTAATTGTCGTTTTTGAATTATTTTGGGGCTTGCGTTCTGGACTTTGTGAGGGTATTTGTTTTGATGGGGAGGTTCTACCTTTCAAGTTTTCTGAAGGCCTGCTGGCAGATGTTGGCTTCGTGTAACCTGGTTTTCTATCAGGACTTACACTTCCTCTTTTAGGTGAAGTATCGTCGGTAGCAGGAACACTTGACTGAGGTTTGCGATCTGGACTTTTACCAGGCCTTACCTTACTTTCCGTAGGATGAGGCCGAGAAGGTGAAATATGCCTGGGTAACTCGGAAGTCCAGTCGGGCTGACTATTATAGGGTTGTTTGCGTTCAGAAGTCTGACCTGCTTTAATAAGCGTATCCTTAGTGACATTATCTGGTGTTGGAGAAAGACTGTGATCTAGAGGACGAGTTGGTGAATAGGTCCTAGGATAGTTATCAGTGTCAGTTTCTTTGTTTGATGAGTTTCTCTCAGGGCTCGTTCGTGGTCTCATTGGAGATTCATTTCGATCCAGAGGACGAGATGGCGACTTAGTTCTAGGATTTTTATCGGTCGGCGTGGTTTTGTGTGGTGAATCCCTCTCAGGGCTTGCTCGTGGTCGCGTCGGAGATTCACCGCGATCCAGAGGACGAGAAGGTGAACTGGTTCTAGGATAGTTATCAGTAGGAGATGATCTATATATCAGTTTCCTGTCTGGGCTTACACTGGGTCTGAAAGCCAAGTCTTGAGGTCTTTTTTCTGGACTTACGCTTGGTCTTTGACGATGGTCATGGGGTTTTCGTTCCGGGCTATAACCAGGCCTTGTTGGCGAACGTCCAGTTGGGGGTCGTTTGTCATCAAGGGTTGTATTTTTGTGCGTTTTAACTTCAGTTACAGAATGTGTGGAATGTGTTACGGAATGTTTATCAACTACTTTGCGGGTGGGTGATGATCTATCAATTTTATTGGGACTTTCACCTCGGCTTGATGGCTTTCTGGTTATTTTATCAGGGCTTACACTACTCCTTAAAGAAGACGTACTTGACCTGAAGGTTCTACTACCCGGAGAAGAAGCTCGGGTCGATGGTCGTGTAGTAGTAGGAGTATCAGCGCGCAGTGTGCTGGCCCACGCCTGATGGGAAGGACTCCAATCATTGCTGATTTTCTTTTGAGGAAAATCAGTTTGATATGTGGTTTGATAACGATCGGTGCTGGTTTTTCTCTCTACACTTTCTTCTGCTTTGTTTTCTCTTTTAATGACATGAGTTTTTTCTTCAGTACTAATAGTTTCTTGGTGAATAGAATCTCTTTGCTGACGAGGCCGATTATCATTAGGTTCTATATTTTCTTGATTATTATCACTTGGCTTCATTGTTTCAGGATGATCACGACGCGGTGTAAGCGACTCAGGACGTTCTTTCTGCTTAGTTAAATTGTCTGGACGGTCACTACGTGGTGTTAACGTGTCTGTTTTAGTGTCACGCGTTGTTGTTTCACGTTGGTCGACGGCAACGTATTGGCGGTGGTGGGTCTGATCTGTGCGTTGCTGACGTTGGACATAATCATCATTATCAGTAACTTCCTTTGTAACTTTGGTCACGTGCCGAGATGTTTTCGAGTAGTTATCATCAGCATTAGAATGATCTACAACTCTTTTGTTTATTTTAGTTTCATAAAGTTTTACATCCGAATAGTCTTTGTTATCTTTTGTGTAATCTGCTATTTGCCTTTTGAAATCATTATCATCAACATTTCTTTGAGAATCAACGATATCAGTTACGCGGTTGTCTGTTACGTGCCGAGTAGTTTTCGAGGACTCTTTGACGTCAGATCGCTGTTGAGTGGAATAGGACTTATTTTCCCTAATTTGGTAAGATTGCTCAGAACGGGTACTTTGTACTGGGGCCCGAAATTCTCTCTTGGTGCTGGTGACACGAGTTCCGTCAGGTAGGCACCGCGTCTCCACGATGACTCTGGTGTTATCATCGGGGTAGTCTATCTTTCTAGATACGAGTTCCCCAGTCTCGTAATCATTTCTGCTTACATTTTGTTCGTAGTTATTTTTCTTCACGCTATCATAATTGTTCTTCGTGATGTTTTGCTCGTAATCATTTCTGCTTACATGCTGCTGGTACTCATTCTTTCTCAAATTTTGTTCGTAATCATTCTCCGTGCTTTGATCGTACTCGTTGGTTTTTATAATTTGTCTTCTGGTCATAGAGGACGCGTCCTCATTACGGTTAGTATCGTAACTTCTTAGGTCATAGTCGTCGTTAGTCAAATATGGCACTGTGTCATGTCTCGTCGAAGACATCTGCTGGAACTTGGAAGACGACGTGGAAGAGCTGGTGGTGGACGAAATCTGAGTCCCGTCGTCAGTGTTGCGCACGACATATTCGCGCGCCGCCGTGTTGGACGAGGTTTGGTTCCGCTTCAAGCTGCTGTGGTCGTCGTGGTACTCGGTGACAGCTTCTTTATGGTGATCAACGGCCGCAAACTGGCCTTTACCACCGTCCACATCGTACCGGCCTTCGATGTTGGCGTGCACGGACTTGACATGCGTGTGCCCGTCGTCTGTGGTCTTGTTCTCGGACTCCACATTCCAGCCAGCGTTCGACAGCGCTTTGAGATCTGTAAAAACATGAGCCTTAATGTCTGACCACGAATTGCGCATACCGTTACCGGTTAATAAGCGTTAGTTCTGTTAAGGTTAAGTTATGACTTTATCTTGCAGGCACCTTGGCCGCGGTACGTGAACTCCTTGGGTGGGGAGCCAGCGTCGCGGACCTCCTTGCTCTTCATTGACTGGAAGCTCTGGTCCGCGAATGACTTGACGTGGCCCTGCGCAGCACTGAACTCACTACCTGTTGAATTCGGGCACATCTGCGCTAACTTTTGGTCTTTGACAGTAAAAGTATACTTACGTATACATGTGCATAGCAGTAAGAATATAAAATATCTTAGTCTAGTATATGTAGGTATGTACCCACCTATGGCATACAATCATTGATGAGAAACAATATAAAACAGCACTTCACATGTGACGTCATAATGCAGAACAAGTACTGTACTAAGTTTTCAAATGGTACGTTGGCAACAGAACGGATACAAGTAGTGTGACCACAATGCTTCCAAGCAGCTTCATCTGTGTGTCTTTTGATACAGTGCCAGTGGAGACCCACTCAGCATGAGGCTTTACTGGTAGCTACTAACTCAGTTCTGTGACCTGTGAGTAATGATGAAGATGTAGTGTTACCTTTCCCATCTCTGGTGGGTTCGGGCGAGTAGAGGTCGCGCAGCCGTTCCTCCCGCAGTCGGTACATGTGCGCACGGATTTCTTTCTTGCGAGAGAAGTCCTCCGTCTGCTGCCACTGGAATCATCAGATGCACTATGTTAGTGATAATTATAAAACACTACAATATCGATGACCTTGTTGAGTTTTGGATTTAGTAAAATTATCACGAACAACATGTTTTTTTATCAGATAGGTTTGCGCGCAAACGAGCTAATATATCGGAACCGCTTATTCTGCCGAATTTTCGAGGAAGGGATTAGAGAGAGTTTTACGTAACATTATGTACAGCATTATAAAATATTTGTTTTTATAACTCGCAAACACGAAGCCAAACGATTTAATAAAAGTAACGCCTGCCTCTGTAGACATCTACAAATCGTTTCTGGAAAAACATTGCTTATAATTTTCGTCAGGCGCTCGGAAAGCATCCTTACGTCCATCCAGCGTTGTATATATATTTAACAGTAAAATGATACATACACACATAGTTACGTATGTATTGTTGTATATATAGTATGGGGTAGCTCACCATGCGGCGCAGTAAGTCTTCGTCGCGGATCAAAGACACGTCGCCTTCTGACATTCTGGAAATAACAACAATCACGTTAATATTATACTTTATCAAAGATAATTGAGTTTTACATATATAGAATAGACGAAGAACTCTTAAACTTATTTAATACATATGTTATTTAAGTTCATTTTAAATCGCCTTTTTGGTCTATATAGGAAGTAAGGAACAGTGAGGTAAATGACAGTTGTATTTTTTTTACAATTACTTTGGTTGAAATAGCGAGTAAACAAGTAACAATAGTTATAATTGTAAATAAATATCGAAAACTAACTGCAAGTAAACCAAGATACACAAATCACATAAACAAATTACTGTAGATAAAAATTATGTAGGTAATCGTAAACACCAAATAGTATAACAATGATAACTCTCCATTAGAATTTGTCCAATTATACACATAAATCTACATTTTGAATGTGAACATAACCGCTTTCAAAACAGATAATAACTGACTTAAGGTAAACCATTCTCTCGGCGCCTGCGCAGGCTGCGCAAGGCTGGAGTGCTATCGATCCTGTATCGCTCGACCTATTGATATTTATTCCTAAACTGGAAGCACTTCGTGATCGCAACGATGACATTCTATTCAAGGAGTCACAGTACCTTGGAGATGTAAAATACCCAGTAGATGCACGTGCAGTGCCAGTGCCATGAAAACATAGGTGTATGTTTGTAACCTAAACAACTTATTAAGTAAACTATGGAGTTCCACATACAAAATGTTTAATGGAGAATTTTCTAAGAAGATCCAGAAGATCTGATTCTTACTAAAACAAGGTAGATTAATGCTGTCGATAAAAACTTTACAAGCAATACCTACACGAACAAGAGGTGTGTCAACATGTAGTACATTACCAAGACACGAATTACCTATAAAGACAACAATTATGCGTACTACTCGGATTGTAGCTGAAGTGATGACTTGAACTGCAGCCGAAAAAATCATAACGTCTCCTTCACTAATTACGTTAAGATTCGTTGACTAACGTAATTGGTCTGCAGTTTAATTGATCAGATGCTGTGTGTTGGACACAGGCTGTACACAATTATTTCAAAGCAAGACATTTATTACATTAAAGTTTGGAGGGAATCATGATTGGCCTTCAAAATATCAACATCATTGCACAACTCCATCTAGCGGTCGACATTCGTAATAAATTATGACGATTTGTTCTAAAACCGATGTGAAGAATTTTAGTTTATTTTGATAGGCAATAGAAACTAAGTAACAGGTCAAGACTTTACACTAAAACTCACATGATAATCCATCCTAAAGCGACAATTCCAAAGTATTTGCCAAAGCTAATAGAGGATAACAATAGTGGATGATGAAGGACGCATCTAATATTTTTGTACTGATAAGCCAATAGAACTTGTTTTTCCCTAAAAGTATGATTGACGCCATTAATGACGATACGACTAGAATCGAGTGTAAGTAGAATATACAACCAATACAAACATTTACAATAAACATAAAGACATATCTCATATACAAGTACAATCATCTGTATGTATACGTACGTGTGACTACATCAATTACAGCTAAAGTGATCGCTAAATGAAGTGGTATGAATCTCGGCGCAGAGTCGCTGTGGTCATGGTAACGCATGCGCAGTGCAATTGACGGACCTTGAGGACACAATTAGTGGCTGCGGAGTCCCACGTCACTCACTTATTGCCGGATTTATGGAGCATTTCCAAGAAGCACGGCTGATGCGAGTGTAATGGATACGCTATAGTAGCAGACACGGATTCATGGCTCTCATCGAGAGGATATCATAATCTCAGCAACATTTGTATAGGTAAAATGTTGACTCGATGGAAGTAGGACAATGTTAAAGATGTTAACATTCCTCGAAAGAATGGACTTACTTGCTTTCGACTTGATTATTGACAAACCATCAAATACTTTTCTCAAAAGAAAACACAAATGGCTTGGGCATGGCATGTAGCATTGACACGACACATAGCTTGGGCTAGAACATTTGTCGTGAGCCATCTGTCTCAACCTCGATCCTTGCGCCATATGGCCGCTGGCCCAAAGCCCTGCCATATAAGGGCAACACACACTCGCCACCCCGGCGCCCTTGTCCCTCTTACACCATCTTATAAGGAGACAAAAACAAGAATAAGTTTGTATTGAAGTATTTTATTTCATTTTTAGTTACGTGTCCCAGTTACTGAGGTCAGTCAGTCGCCAGTTGCCGATGTTAATTATGCTGATAATCCTTTTAATTACAAGATATCTGATACGTTTTGCAATGCTACATAAATGGATATCTATAAACCAATTTCTCTTAAGCCTAGTTACATCCAGAAACACAAACAAAAGCACCGAGTGTTTGAATACAAAACAATGGAATGAGATTAACTGCGATCCACGTCTTAATAATTCCGTGAAATTATAAAGAGTTCGCAGCTGCGAGAAATGCATGACTAAATAAACCGGCTGCGGCTGCAGCCTCCCGGAATGCCAGCCTGCGGATCATCTAGATCTGAGCTCCATTTTGTGGAACATTCCAGATTGTTTCCACCTTACAGTCAAAACAGAAGTATCTCAATAAGCCATGATGTCACCTAATGGCCGTCGGCCTGTCACCGCCGATTGGGCCAATAACTAGCCCCGAACTAATGGCTCGTGATAAACGAGTGCAGCCGGGGGCCTGGTCTAGTATTGTAACACTAAAAGTGACATGTAATGGGTTTAAGTTAATGGGGAATGATAAATGTTGCGTTTGCTCCATTTTACTAAGTATGCAATGTGCTCAATGTGGTCCAACACTTCCAACCTAACGACCAATACATTCTGTAGACTACAGGATAGAGGCCAAGGTTACCCGATCTATTCTTTAATAAACACTGGGGATTTCGAATGCTATGGTAATTTATGGCAATGATAACTTTATCAATTTATTTTTTAATTATCAATTCAATGCATTTGTTACAAAGTATGATGTTAGAATGTAAATTGCAGGTGTATGATAGTGCAGTGCAGTTGGGGCCAGTGCCCTAGTAAGGCACATCCCGAAAGGTCACAGGACTCAGGTAGGGCGCAATCTCTCGCGGTGCCGCGGCCGGCCCTCTGAGAACCTGCCAGTGACTCATGCGCAGGCGCATACATCACAACAATTCCAAGGGGAAGAGGATCACATTATACAAGCACAATGGGAATACGTTTTAAATCTGTTATAGGTTTTTAAGAAACTATGTTTCTGCAACAACACATTAACCAGATAGGACATGACATGCCATAAGGTAAAAATAATTTAACTCGTAGGATTCCATTTTCCTCAAAGACACATTATCATATTTATTGGTAATTAAGGTGTCTTATTCTGTTCTATACGTAAATAACTCATGCGGCAATATCATCCGTAGGTTATATTCAAATTGAATCAGTTGTATTCTGTCATATATGTATGTACTTGAGCACAATGAAGAAAAATAAAATACCTTCTCAGAATGATGTCATCGCCGCGCCGTGACGGATCTATTTAATTTATAAGTATTAGGTGATAATCACTATTCATTGCCCATTTCTTTAAACTATTAGTCGGAAAACTTATTTTCTTATAAATGTTTCTTTGATATTGTTCCTAAACTAGGATAAGGTCACCGGACTCACAGGTCCTAGGGTAGGGCGTCATTTCGGTCAGCGGCGCCCGCGCAACTTGACAGTGACTCATGCGCATAAAGATCGAGAATTATTTGAATGCCTACCCAATGGAACACTCAGAGAGGATACCAAATATTTCGAATGTCGGACGGACGGACGGACGGGATGTTTTATAAACACTGTTATTGTGACCGCTTGCTTCTTACCCACGCATGCGCAATCTCGCTCTAGACAAATATTTAACACCTTTTTCGTGTTATATTATTGTGAAGGTATTTTATAACGAGAGAGAATATTTTTAAGTGTGAACACTTAAAAATATACTCTCTAAAAACATTTTTGCTTTTAATCAAAAGTGTTTTATTTTTCTTAGCACGACCGAATAATATACGACTTGTTTTCGTAGTCTACTGTGGCACGTCTGTGGGAATCTAAATTTGAAAATGTCACGACATTTTCGGAGAAAAATATTTAAAATTTATAATTGTTTAATGACAAGATTTGTCTCCTCTTATGTTATATTAGCATTTAATAATATAATCTTTGAACACAAATACGTGTAACACGGTGACATAATGGAAGGCGAACGACATTAAGGTACGAGAAACGAATATTAATACACGAACAGGTTACACTTGTATAACTAATCGACCATGTTCAATATCTAAACAACAAGAGGATTAAACTTTTTGCCGAACAAGGATAGTAAGAAAAAGTACAACAAATCATAAATGTCAAACTTTATTTGGTATATTAAGTCACCGTTATAAAAAAACTAAGCTGAGCTTATTATGCGTATGCTCCCACAAGTTGTAGTAATAAGTTATTTTGGAAATCTGATTTGCATTGATCGTATCTTTGAAATTCCAGGGTTACAAACAAATTAAAAAGAATAAATTTTTACATTGGGGAGCTTCCTCATCATTAATTTTATTTGGCTTTTAATTTTTGAAGATTTTAGCCGCAACACTACTTAGTAGTTAATCTGCCCTCAATCGCCTTAATACCACGATTCATATAAATTACATCTTGGTGACAGGCTGAAAATAGGCAGACGGAAGATCAGAGGAGTCTTAGTAATAGGGTTAATGTTTCTACGAGTACTCTAGGATACAAAACCATAGAAAAGGATGGATGAGTAATGAGAATATAAAACAGTTATAGAGTAAAAAAACAGAACACAATTTCGAAAGACACCTAGCCTTTCAAATAATAAGTATCCCTTTTCTTTCGAAGCATAGATTGTAGACCCCTGTCGGAAGAGAGAGAGCATGGAGAGAGAAACTCCTCATCACTATAGAGAGCACAGCCCCCGTGAGAACGTCACCTGGTTCACGTCTCATCTCACATCCGGTACCGACACCTTCACCAGTTTGCGCAGAAACTGTCAAATG